ATTTTATTTTTTTAAAGATTTTATTTATTTATTTGACAGAGAGAGAGACAGCAAGAGAGGGAACACAAGCAAGGGGAGTGGGAGAGGGAGAAGCAAGCCTCCTGCCGAGCAGGGAGCCCAATGAGGGGCTCAATCCCAGAACCCTGAGATCATGACCCGAAGACAGTCCCTTAACTGACTGAGCCACCCAGGCGTCCCTTCCTTTATTTATTTAATACTTATTTATTTTATTCCTAATTATGTTTGTATCTTATCTGTCAAATCACAATGGTTAAACTAAGCACCTTCAAATAAATCCTTACCCATACTTGAGATAACTAAACTATCTAAACAGGAAATGGTGTTTAGACATCTGTTGAAAAATATAAGTTTATATATTAAGTGCTAGTTAAAGTTAACCACCATTCCAGACATAAAAGGTGGAGTATAAGAAAGCCATCATTCCAAATGTTTTATCTAAAGAAAAAAAATCTAGTCAGTCTGAAAACTAAAAATTCACTTGGGCTTTACCCAATTATGGTCAAAATCAACATGGATTTGAAAAATAACAAAATTCATCCCTTGAGTCATGTTGTAAAGCCCTGTTATGTCCCAACTATATTTTTATACCCTAATATTTCTACTTCCTTTAAAAACCAGAATCTTTCTCCTCCATTCCTCATTTCTTCCTAATTTAGTAGAATGCTATTACTTCACAGCATTTAGTGGAACTACAAATATCAAATGTAGTCCCTCTGAGAGAATAAGGGGAATTCTTGGACTTTTTAATACTTACAGTTTTGTAAGAAACGGAGCCTATTATGGAGGCTCTCAGAATTAAGAGACACTAAGCCCATTACGACATCACTGTGGCCTAAAACAAAATAAAAACCTCTAGGTTAAAAACAATGTATGTTTATTCTTCATTCTAAAATTTCTACAATGTAACTTTCACTTGAAAAAAACTCTCTGGGAAAAAGCCCTATAAAATAAGTTTAAATAAACTGTATTCAATTTGATAGTACCAAATATATACACCTATACCTATAACAATGAAATAAAAATCATATAAAAATCAAATGTTTCTTTTTAAGCTGTCAGTAGAATAAAACTATAACCTTTTTTGGTAAATTTTAATCCTGTTCATAAGTCATGAGCATAGTTTTGTCTGCTATAAATGAAATCCCATATTTAACCAAAGTATAAATTTTTTACTTTCTACATGAGTCACAGAGAAAACCTGAATAATAGAAGAAAAAGGATCAAAATATCAAGCCCTGTGGTATTTTCATCTATCCATGGAAAGGAACACTCAAAGTGTAGACTATATGTATGTCTTACCATTCATATATTTCGTTGCTGAATACATACAAATATCAGCTCCCAGAGCCAAAGGCCGCTGAAAGGAACAAAAGATTTTCATTTTAAATGGTAATTCACTTGAAAATATGCTTCATTACATGCCTATTTGCTATTATAAATTTCATTCCTTTTCTAACTTTTCAAAAATACACGCATCTTAAAATTTTCCAGGATTTCTCATGGTATCTTTCCCCTCCCCCCGCCCAAATAAAAATGCAAAGCACTGGACCCAGTATTCAATCCAAAAGCACAAATTTTCTGGAAATAGCAGGTAAAATCTGGTCAACAGGTCTCCTGAACTGGTTTCTTTAGAGGATTTGCTGGCTGGTCCTAAGTGTACTTACTAAATTTTACAATGCAGAGATGCATTTTATGACTCAGTAAACACATAAAGTAGTAGACATAAATATTTAGCAATTATTATGTCAAGTGAGTATATAACATGCTTAGATTTTTGATCATTAAAACCTGATAATGTATGCTGTGATTATTCGCTTGATGTGCCATCATCTTAACTCTTAATTACTCTTTTTTTTTTCATAATTACTCTTTTATTATACTAGTTTTGCCAAGTGTAAAGTCACTTAGAAAGAAATTTCTTTGGATTGTTTTCCCTCACCCAATTTTCCTGCAAATCAATCCTTTAGTCTTAAAACGTCTTTGTTTATAGTGAGAATTAAAGTTATAATCAACTATTCACTAAAAAATATATTACCAACATCTTTCTATTTACATTTTCTTTTTTTTTTTAAAGTAAGCTCTGTACCCACCACAGGGCTTGAAATCACAGTCCTGAGATCAAGAGTCACATGCTCTACTGACCCCCCAGGCAGAAGCCTATTTACATTTTCTTTAAAAGAAAGTACGTGTGTGTGTGTGTGTGTGTGTGTGTGTGTGTGTGTGTGTGTGTGTGTGTCTTTTAACCTCACCAGTTGTTTCGTCTTTGGAAGGTGTTAGTATAAGGGGCTATAGGACTTTTCATTTGGGGTGTTTCAAAAATAGGATGTTTTAAGTCAGGTATTACTCAAAGGACTCTCTACATAGGTGTTTGCGCATCTCCAAAGTGATGGAGTCAAACTAGATGATGTCTCTTCCAATGCTAACATTCTGTAAACTCTGTGGTCAAAAGAAAAGGAAAAATGAAAACAAATAACTAACATCTGTTGATATCATTATGTGCTGAGAACCATGTTAAATTCTTTACATATCCCAGGGAAGCACTATACAAAATATTTTACCTAACTCAATAAAATCAGTACTTTTAAGATTCTCATTGTACAGATGAAGAAGAGGGACGAAGAAAAACAAAACAGTGGTGCCTGAGTGGCTCAGTTGGTTAAGCATCTGACTCTTGATTTCGGCTCAGGTCATGATCGCAGGGTGGTGAGATCAAGCTCCATGTCAGGCTCTGCACTGAGCATGGAGCCTGCTTAAGATTCTCTCCCTCTCCTTCTGTCCCCCCTCCCCCATCTTGCAAGAAAGAAAGAAAGGAAAGAAAAGAAAGAAAGAAAGAAAAGAAGGAAGGAAGGAAAGAAGGAAGGAAGGAAAGAAAGAAAGAAAGAAGAAAGGAAGGAAGGAAGAACGAAAAGAAGGAAGAAAGAAAGAAAGGAAGGAAGGAAGAAAGGAAGGAAGGAAAGAAAGAAAGAAAGAAGAAAGAAAGAAAGAAAGAGAAAAGAAGGAAGGAAGGAAGGAAAGAAAGAAAGAAAGAAAGAAAAGAAGGAAGGAAGAAAGAAAGAAAGAAAGAAAAGAAAATCGAAGCAGATCATTCAGATTAAAAAGCTGGTAGAAGTAGCACTCACATCTAAATTATGTAAATCGAGAGGTTCTACTCTCAAACTCTGAAACTTTACGATGGTATGTCCATTTTGCCTTTTGTGACATATTTTATAGAAGATCCAGAAGACAAAAGGCAGGGAAGAAAGAGAATGTATCCAGTTTTCCTGAGGGTAAAATAATGAGAGGACCTTTTCAGAAGATCTACTGTATAGAACTAATACATGTGGCCACTTAGGGACAACATGATTCTGATTAACTCAACTGGAATGAATGCAGATTGAAAGGAAGCAAACTGCAGTCCCTGGTATGCGGAAATGTGATGTGGGCTTCAGAAAGGTAGAAAAACTGGACCTATTTTAGTGACAGTAACAGGGGAAAAAAAAGGGCCAGGCCTGATGAGTAATCTGGGCAGGCCCAAGCTAAAACAATGCATGCAATCTCTTTGGGAATATATAGGACTCGCTGTGACTCAGCTAGAGCAACCCTATGCTGTGTTAACTGGCCTTTAGTGCAAGTGGTATATGGGATAAGGAGTTGGGATAATGAACCCAAGAGTGAAAATCACCTGGGACAAAGAGATGATGCCAGGAGATTTTCACTTGGAAATAGACTGCTTTAGTGGATCTAAGAAGCAGCCAAAGATATATCGTGAGCCAAAGGTAGGTGGCCCATGAAGCTGTCCAAATGCAACGTAGCGAGGAAATGTGTTTGAGGAAAATGAAATAAAACCTGGTAGTGTCTTCTCAATAAAATGGAAGAAGGTGAAGAACAGATTTATACAAACTAAGGCAGCAGCCTGTGCCAATTGCAGGGACCCAAAACAAAAGGGGGGGAAATATAAACAACTGAGCTATCAACATCTGCCTAATGCAAGAGTAGCAAAAAATGAGCTGGGCTTTCAGGAACTCTGCAGGATAAAGGTAAAGTACAGGAAGTGTAATAAGAAGGATCATAAAGTACAAGCAGGAAGGAAACAGCGAGGAGAAGGTAAGCTCCTAACAAGGAAAGGAAACAGATTGGGCTACTCGGAGGGAAGAGAGAGAGAACATGTGGGGAAAGGGCAGACAGCTAATCAATTATAGAGCAATCCTTAGATGATCTACCAAAAGGAACAAAATAGAAAGAAGCATCTGGAAAAAAGGAAGAGAAAGAAGAAAAGGAATGGAGGATGAATGGGAGGTTTTGAGGTGGGAAGAGATGTATGTAGAGGAGTAGGTAGGAAAAGAGATAGTTTAAAAGGAGCACTATAAAGGACCTGGTACTTATAGCTACAGTGTGAAACAGGGAGTAGAAATACACACAAGGTAAAGCTATAGAGAGCTGGGCGTAGTCCATGGGGCACTGAGGGACGAGAAACCAGAAAGGAGGAAAGTGGAGAAATAATAAGTATGACATACACTGAGATGTCATGCAGTATAGCTTTTGTTTTCCTTTTATTTGGAAGATTAGCCAGGTTTAATTATATATTTTAATAATTTAATAGCATATATTAATATATTTTAAAATAAATATATATGTATTAAATATATAACATATATGCATTAAATATATAACATATGTTTTTCAGTCACACCATATATATAAAAAAAACACAACTGATTTACAACTAGCACATAAACATTAAAGTCCCTACTATTTATAAAGCACTGACAGATAAAATCACATAATAAGGCCAGCTCTTCAGAGAGTTTACACATCCTGAGAGAACTTAAAAACTTTAATTAAGACAACATTTAAAACACACAAAGTCCTATGATGGATATGAACCTAGGGTTGGTTGAAAAGATATGAGCTAATGGTAGAAAAGGTCCAATTTTAATTCTTTGTCTAATCAATAACTATGATTAGATTCCATGAGTTTGATAATGATGTTAATGCAAACAAGTCTTTCCTTTCCTAGTTACAGGTATCTGTAGTCTACTAATCATGCCAAAAAAATCATTTTCATTTACCTGGAAATAGGCTGACATAAAAGTGTTATCCACGACCAAAATGATGTCACCATGTTTATGGACAGTATGTGCACAGGCTTCAATGTCAATCATCTTCAAGCTAGGGTTTGTGGGGGTTTCAATCCAAACAAGCTAAAACATTTCAACAGATGATAATAGTTTATAAAAATACACTGCACCAATATATGTCTCATATATTGTAACCATCTGGCAGACTACACTGAAGAATGTGGGTGATGAATTTGCAAGGGTTGAATCTGAATCCTAGCCCCCATTAATTTCTGAGAGGTCATAGTTAAGTAACTTACCCTCCATATTCCTCAAATTTTACATCTGTACAACAGGGTTGATAATATTTCATAGAATTGTTATAAAGATCAAATGAAATAATGTTATGTATAAGAAGAAAAGTGCTCAAGTTAATTATTATAATTACATTCCATTAAAAAGAGGATGGATTTCAAAGACATAATTCAGTGCCTAGGAATTTTGTTCTCAAAGGTAAATAATATAGAACATTAAGATCATAGCCTAGAATTTTTATTAAAGAGAATTATCCCTACAATGCCAAACATATGCTAAATATTAACTTTAAAAACACCAGATGCATGAGAAACTATAAAAATAAGTACCCAGAACTTGAAGAGCATGGGTTTTAAAGTGCAGGAGAGAAGTTACACACAACAGAAAACCTGGTCACAGCTCATTTAAGGAGACAGTATCATATCCCAAAACCTAGCACAAATCAGGCACAAAGTAGATGCTTGACAGTGACTGAGAAGACCAAAGAAAAGAAGAAATTTCTGTTTGTTAAACAAGATGCCACTGTACTGAATGACATTACCTACAGCTTTCTTTTTAAAAGGGTTAATGATTCTTTATTAATATATAAATGAGCAAGATATCTAGTTTAATATTCTTCCTACTCTAGACTCTTACAGTAGAAAAGATAAGGTAATTAAAATAATGCAAATTCTACAAGAAATGATTATTTTAAAAATCTGTAAAAAATCATTTCTGGTAAGAATCTATTATTCATATTCATAATAAAAAGTAATTAAAATAAAAATAATAAATACAAAGTTGATTTTGCAGGGACTTAAAAAATCTACTTCATATGATGAGGCAGATATTTCAGGGGGAAAAAAATGTATTAATTCAAGTCAGTAAAGAGCCACTACATAAAGTTCTGTTGACAAGAATTAACATACTCACAATTTGCTTTCCTCCCTTAGAAAGACTCAGACCAGCTATTTTAATAAGTATCTTTTCTCCTAAGCAAGATAAAAAACAAGTTCCTTTGAAAACAAACCTTAATCACTCAAAGCTCACCCCTGTGTTAATCTTCAAAGTAATCATTTGTGTGAGAAAAGGTTTTCATTTTTTAGCATTCCCTGCAACATAATCTTGAGTACAATTCAAACCTTTTAATCATTAGCAAAAAGTTGGAAAAGGCTGACTTATAAAAGACATTGGTCCTTCTTTTACCCATGCAGAATTTAAATGAGGCCCAAGAAAGAATACCACATATGCCATTCACTCAGGCACAAAACACCTTCCGGTGGCATGCAAGCTTCCCAGGATGGAGGCTAAAGATTGCTTGTGGCCCATTCTCTACTTGTAACTATTATTTTGTTGAAGTATCGCTTAAAATTCTTAAAAAGCCAGTATGCTTAGGGTCTGGGGCCTTGGCAAGCTTCCTTTCCTGCAACCCAATCTCTGTGATAACCTCTGTTAGCAATACCAGTTTGGTAATGCAGTACATAATTGTATGCTTTTGCTAACAAATTTTTTTCAGTTATTATGTGTTGGGTACTGCACTGAGCATTTCATATGCCTTATCTCATCTAATTTACACAACCACCTTTCTATAAAGCAGATGCAATTATCCCCATCTTGCAGATGAAGAAATTGAGACTTTGGTTAAATAATTTGCCCATGATAATACACCAACTATGACACAGAATTAGAACTTGGATCCTGCCGTGGAATTCACGTACCTAACCATTATGCGAGAATATTCTGGAGAAGCCAGACCTATATTAAACTTGTTGATGGTTTCCAATGGCTTCTAATAAAATTTGTTATTCAAATTTAAATTATGTCTTCTAGTAAACAAAATGATAAAAACAAAACAGCACACAGAAAACAGACAAAACTGAAAACTGAGTTACCTTGGTTTCTGGTGTAATGGCTGCCTCTAGCAATTTGGTTTTGGAACAATCAACAAAAGAAATCTTTAATCCAAATTCAGTTGCCACCTGCCTGAAGTACCTGTTTGTACCTGAGGCAGAAAAGAATCAGCAAAATGGAGAGGACACTGTACTGAGAAATGTTCACTCCTCATTGGTTTAAATACTTTAAAAATATAAGGAAGTGTCAATCACCAATAAAAGAACAACTAACAGCAAATGTACTTTGGATATCTTGTATAATAAAGAATATAAGGCTTGGATTTTAAACTGAAAGATAAAGAGTCAAATAAAACACACTTGATATCCACACTAAATGACATGAAGCAGAAATGTTTCTGAAAACATATAATTTCTACTCTTTAAACAGTAAGTGGCATGCTCCCTGAAACATCAATATATTTTTTAACAATTTCTTCCTAGTACTCAAATTTAAAATAAATGAACCAATGTTCAAAATAAATTTTTAGTCTGATCATACTTTCACAATAGAAAAAAGCTGGTTATTATTCTTTGTACTCTCTCAATCTTTTTGTTATGTGGTTCTAAAGCTTTAATAGATAAATGAGGCAATACAAATTAAACAACTACAGTTTTATGGTGAAAAAGATAAATCATTCAACTTAGAATAATTTCTCTTATAAACACTGTTCTGGATTCGATTTTTACATAGGCAAATTTCAAGGAAAAATTGCTCTTATTGATAGCCCACCAAAAAAAAAAAAAACCAGAAAAGAAAAAGGAAAAATACTCTATGATCAAAGATATACTGAACTTTTGATGCTGTATAGACTGACCCTAGATAATAGAAGATTGAAAAAGAATGTAAAGAATTGTAAAAATCAATAGCAATTTTCAAGATTTTGTATCTATGTGTGCCATGAGGCTTTTATAATGCACTATAAAAGTAACTAAAGGTGTGCTATTTCTATTCAACAAACTATCATAGGAAACAATGATAAATACAAAGCACTCTGCAAATTTCTAAGAGGGTTAATATGATTACTGAAAGTCTCTTACATTCATTCAACTTTTTGTTAATAGGAGATAGATAAAATGATAATATTCTAGAAATCACATTTTAATTATATGGAAGCATTTGGAATATATATATATATACACATATATTTACAAAACTTTTTGCTATTGTTTTGATCATAAAAATCAGTCTTGCTTAAAGGTAAGGGCAACCTGTCTTCTTTACCTTCCTACTCACCACTTTAAATAACTTGCATTTAAACTGTTTAGAATGGAAGTTCTTAAATTTGGATCCATGATGGACTTCAAGGAGTGAAACCCTTTTACCCTAAAATTAAAATGATAAACATTGGGTGTAGTCTTAAGCACACTTTTCCACCTTTGCGGGGAAGGGGTCCATATTTTCAACAGATTTTCCAAAGGTTCCTTAAAACCCCAAGTGTATAAATATGTGGGGGAGATAGAGGGGTGGGTAGAGGCAAGCTCTTTGAGCGTGAACTGGGTTATAGTTCATCTTCACTGCAGGCAAAAATTTTAAGTAACACTAGAACACTCTCTCTTTAAACACTATCTTCTCTGAGTAGAATAGATCTGAAAGTTGATCAGGTCCAACATCCTCATTCCAGCAGTTTAAGTAAAATTATTATTAAACAATCTCTCTTACAAGCAGTTCCAGAGCATAGACCCTAAATGTTTATACTCTTCCTTTACCAAGTCTGGGTCAACACAGAGGTGTCCATCATACCTTTAAAGGATAATAAATGATCAATAATCCTGGTAACATTGTTAATATAATTCAGGACCCACTTTACTGTCTTTAAAATATCAGCTGACACAACATGCATGAGAGAGGCCACCTACCTCCATACACATCATCCATACAAATAATTTGGTCTCCTGCTTTTAAGAGATGGGCAATAGTCACAGTGGCAGCTAAACCTGAAGCAAAGGCCAAACCTAAAATAAAAGCCAAGTTAGGGTAAGCCGAAAAAGTCAAACCTCTGGGTTGAAAAACACCTACAATATTTCCTTGCATTACTTTATGTTCTTCTCTCTGCTTATATAAGGACAGCCGTCACTACAGTCACAAGAAGTCCCCTGATGAAAATACAATTGCCAATTCCCCCTTTCTGTTTCAAAATTAAAATATCTTTAAGAGAAAAAATATACAATTCTGCTTTGGTGGTAACATTTCTCTGAAACACTTCAAAGAAATAATTCTTTACAAAATTCCGAGATTAAAGGCCAATTGCCAATTAAATTACAGTTTAAAAACGACAAGCTCTAAAAAAAGTTTCAAACTTGAGGAACAGAGCTAAGGTATGATTCACTCATTAACTGTAAGGATATCCAATTGAGCAAATATTTTAACAAAACTCAAAATCAGACCTGAGATGTGTCTGGCAAATTTGAAAAATTTTGTTTTTAAAAAATTTTAAGTGTGGAATCTCCTTTAAATAAATATGATCCCGAAATCTCACGTAGGACAAAAATAATGAAAACAATTAAAAAAAAAAAACAACAACCTGACATTGTATACATTAAACACTATAAAAGAAAATATCCTGACAAAATATCAATGCATCACCTTAATGATAAAAATCACCTGTGACTGGTAGAAGGGATAATTCAATTAACTTGAAAAATGTAATTCTTATAAAATCTTTTCAGAAAAGTTTAGGTTAGAATTACAGTTCTCTACTCAGCACATCTGTAGTCCAATGGTGAATTCATATAGAAGGATAAACTTCATTTTTAAAGATTGTATCAATTTACTTTAGAGAGAGAGAGCATGAGAAGGGGGGGGGTCAGAAGGAGAAGCAGACTCCCCCACTGAGCAAGGAGCCTCATGAGGGACTCTATCCCAGGACCCTGGGATCATGACCTGAGTGAAGGCAGACGCTTAATGACTGAGCCACCTAGGTGCCCCGAGAAGGCTAAAATTTAAACCCAGTTAAAAACAACTGTGTTTTCTGGAGCCCACTTGAAAAAAATGTCTGCCATATGAATACTCAGGCTTTACCCTCCTGCAGGAAATAATGTTCCCTGTACAGTACTAAATTACAGAAGCTTAGTGTTCAGAAAGAACTCCCCTCATCCAAAACAAAAGACAAAACTCCCCAAACCCCCAAAAACCCACATTAACATTTCTAACCCCGGCACTCTTGCTATGAGAAAACTCGTAAGACTCACTTTCTCTTCACTATTCTGTCCTCATTCAGTATCATTCATATAAAAAATACAAAGATGATTTAATAGTAATCCACTCCCTTCATGAAAAAAGATTCAAGGAGTTAAACCCTAATATCTGAGAGCATATTATCAAGGGCACCAGGTAAATGTTTGCTGGTGTTGTTTTTAAGCATTATCAGGTGAATGAACCAGAATATCAGAAAGCTTGTATTCTCAGAGGTAGTGTTATAAAACTCAGTTAATATTTATCTATTTATACTGACACCTTCAGATGAAAAGTGCATTCACATGAATACTAACCGGCAAATTCTGCCATTTTGCTTCTATTTTTACCTAATAATTACACATATGCATATTATACCATCAACGGGACCCTGGACAAAAAACTCAATGTCTTAGTAAGGTTTTGAACTAGCTAATCCTTACTCCTTTCCAATTCTAAATTCTGTGCCTCTATGATTTTGTCTATACATGCAAGAATGGGTTCTACACTTCACAAACTTTGAAATGGAAAGCACTTACTGTACTTGGCCCCATCCAGTGCTGCCACTGCTTTTTCCAAGCAATTCCTGGTGGGGTTTCCGGAACGGCTATATTCAAAACCCTGAAGAATAGAAGAGTTTATCCTAAGCGATTTAAGTTTATTTATCAGAGTCCTAACAGAGACACCTCCACAATTAGGGGTTCATCCTACGATGATGATTTTCTATTATTCAGTTAAGACATGTCTTGCCATTAAATAGAAGCTTAACATGTCTGCCTTCCCAGGATCCTGGGATAGAGTCCCAGGCTCCTTGTTCAGCGGGGAGCCTGCTTCTCCCTCTCCCTCTGCCCCTTGCCCCTGCTCATGCTCTCTCTTTGCACCTGCTCTCTCTCAAATAAATAACATCTTTAAAATAAATAACTAAATAGGAGCTTAACAATATTGTGGCTGCAGTGGTGTGAAAGGTTCTGAAGTTCCCCAAACTGGATTAGAATTCTATAGCTGTCCCTTATGAGCTGTATGCCAAATAGGTAAGTTACTTAACCTTTCTTAAAGTCCATCTCAGTAACTATAAAATGGGAATAAAATACAAAAAACTAATTTGCAAAATTGTTGTGGTGATAATATTATACAATGTATATAAATTCTCTACATGGTGCCTGGTACGTGCTAACTACTACAGAAACAGTTGTTTTTATTATTAGCATTATTATTATGTTCAACTCATCTTTACCCATTCATCTGGGGACATCAGGAAAAGGGAATCACCAGAGCCTACAGAGTAAACTTACTTCTAACCTATATTTCATTTCCTAAGAAATAAGTGATACAAGTCCTGTTTAGCATCCTATAGGAAACTATGAACAGATCCTACAAATGCTCAAAGTTCAGATCTTGGCTCTACATAAGTAACAAAAAGCACACAGTAATTCTTGGCAAAGTGGCTATGCACAATTTCTTAAAATTTGCTCTTTTTACCTTTACCATACTAGGAGTGTTCATTCATTTTATTTAATACTCATGGGCAGCTTTTAGGAAAGTGAAGCCAAAGGTTATAGGGAACGTCAGAACCAGTATTCATTGACTGAAATGCTATAATTTTCTCTCCATGCCTCATATAGCACATAACAAAACACAACAACCACTTTTTACATTGTTTCTGATTTAGAAGCTCCTAGTATTAGTAATATATATATTACCAAAATATGTATATTTTAAGTTTGGTTGCTTTGTTTCCTTGTTTTTGACAAACTGAGTAGACATATTTTATAGGGTTCCAGGATATCCTCATCCCTCCCTCACCATCACCTCCTTGATGTGACCTGTATTCCCAGACAGAAAAAAATCTGTTTGGATTCATGTGGCTACTGCCACAGAGACGTACCCATGTCTCTATAATTATTCACTGCAGAGATTTAACTTTGGGGTGGGGGGGGCATATTTCAGTGGCAAACTCCCACCCTCTCGCCCATTCAATAGCTTTCCAAATGGAATAGGAGAAATAGATGCTTCTCTTCAGCTCCTCAGATTTTCTTTAGTGGTCTTCACTGAGTTCTTAAAGGTACTAAGAGGTGTCTGGTATTTGTAGATTTTACCACCCCGGTTGGCTCTCTGAAAATATTTAATTACTATTATCTGGTTAAATGGTTAACTTTCATACCAAGAGCTAAAGCTTGGACAGTCACATGTTCACAAAACCCTACACCAGCAACAGACTGCAAGCTTGGAAAACAGATTGTGTACACGTTTTGATTCCAAATACAGTAGCTAGAAGCATCCTAAACCAGTTGTAAAAATGCCCTTTAGAACTGTACCTCACAGGTTTTTTGGGGGGGGGTGGGGGGATGGGTTAGCCCGGTGATGGAGCACTGGGTGTTATATGCAAACAATGAATCATGGAACACTACATCAAAAACTAATGATGTAAGGTATGGTGACTAACATAACATAATAAAATAAATTTTTTTTAATTAAAAAAAATTTTTTTTATTAAAAAAAAAAGAACTGTACCTCACAAAACAAAGGGCTATGTTTACAAGAATTTTCCTAGACTCATATAACAACACACTAAAGAGGTTTTTGAAGTCTAATCAAAGCTTCGGACCTACAAAGTTTATTGAACTGATTTCCTTAAAAGCTCAGCAACTTTGAAATACTCCAAGATCCCATCAGTGTGTTACCAAAAGGGATTAACAAAGACTGCTCTATCAAAAACTTGCAATTATCTAACTCTAGGTCAGTTCCTTTTGTATAAAAAGTATGTGATACCTGTCCTGCCCTCTGACCTGGCTGTTGTGAGGATCAAATGGAAAAAGTGTAAATGTGAACACTGTGAAATACCAAACTACTAAGCAATTATAATGTACCATAAAGCTTAACATATATATCAACAATTTATGTGGTAGGTACTGGTGAACCCCATTTACTCAGGATTAACCCGAGGCTGGGATAGGTTAAGCAACTTGCACAAGGTCACCCAGATCAGAGGAGGTGGTGTCAGAATTCAAACCTAGCCCCTCTGACTAGGTGATTTGTGCTCTTAATCACTAAGCCACACTGCTTAAATGATGCAATGGGTTAGGTTATTACTAGTATTATTGGAGTATAGCAGAGTGTAGCCTAATGCCTAAGAGTAGGGTTCTAGAGCAGGGTTAGAATCCAAGCTACACTATTTACTAGCCATGTGGCCTTAGGCTAGTTACTTAATATTCCTAATCTGTTTTTTTTTCCATAAGAAAAATAAGAACCTAGTCCAGGCTAGGGTTGTTGTGAGGATCCCAGACCATACTTGTAATACATCTGACATACTACCTGTAAGTCTGTATCTAGCCCATAGCAAGTAAATCACTTTTAGTAACAATACAGCCACTGGGCATGATCTTGATTCTAGGTGAGTTATCAGACCCTGAGGGTTTGTGGGTTTTTTTCAGGTGACTCTCTACATGTCTTTATAATTTTTGCTGCTAAAGGTAATTCAACAGAGTTATGACCCTCAGTTTTGAACTGCAAATTTGCCAAAATTACACGAATTTCAGTTCAAATCTATATGGCAAGTTGGACAAACTGTTCCTTCCAGTCCTGCTTATCAAAAGAAATGTGATCACTGGACCAGCGAATACAAAGATTTAGTACAAGGAAGATTACGGGTGTAGTAAACATCCATTCGGGTGCCTTCCTGATGTATAAAGCATTTTATAAATTACCTGCATGGCTTTTTATATATAAGACATCTCTTACCCGCCCAACCCAGCCCCACCCCCTACCTACCCAGCCAGCCCCAGCTCACCGAGTGCTGGCCGGGAGCCTCTTGCTTGAACGTGGTGGACAGTGAGATGGGGGGCACTACAGCCTGGGAGGTCCATTGCTCCGGTTCCTGGCCCACATGGATGGCCTGCGTGGCGAAATGCTGGAAGCGAGGCTGGAAACCATACGGGGAGGCGTCTTTTTCCTGCATGCTGAGCTGCGAAGGAGGGAAAGAGAAACAAGAGCAAGGAAGATAAAACCAGAAAACTGGTGCGACAGGGCTTGAGACACAAGAATCAGGAGAACCGGGGCTAAAGACAAGGCGGGCTGATGACGGGGAGCGGACAAAAGCCTGACTCCGGGACTCAGTGGCTCAGACTTTAGTAGCCGGCCGTGTGGTGTGCGTTCACCGCAGGCGGAACCAGCGAGACCCAATGAGCGAAGGCCCCGACGCGACCCCCGTTCCTCATTGGCCGGAAGCGGAGGCGTTGCCTGGAGCGTCGCTGGGACCGCCCTTCCCGGAGCCGAAAGTGGAGCGGAGCGGGAGTCTGTGTGTCCGCTTGGTGTTGTTCCCTACCGGCGAAATTCCTGAGTCGGGGCCTGGGGGAGGCTGCCATGCTGGCTCCAGTGAGCCACCCGGGCGTCTGTGTGACCTCAGGCCGGAGGTTCGCCTGAGACATGGAGGAAGGCGGGCTTGGTGTTGAAACCGAGTAACCTTGTAAACAGGCCACACAGATAGCCTCCTCTTACTGTCCCCAGTGTCCCTGACCCCTACCCCCGACCCCTTTTGTCCTGAGGGCGGTGCTGACCGACGCAAGCAACTAAGCGGAGATTCGTACGAAAACCGAGGCACAACCTGCCAAATTTGCAGCTTGGATTCTCATTAACTGCGGCGGCCTGCCCCTTAAGGTACACTGAACTCTGTAATGACCCAGTACTTGCGATAATTGAAACCTGAGTGAGGGTCATATTTTTCTTAAGTAATGGCGAAGCAACTGTAGTGAAGATCTCGAATCAGAATTCTGGCAGCTTAAGAGCCATTCAAATTTGAGCTTTCGAGCATCATTATCTTTTTGAAGTACCCGGAGAAGCTCTCCCTGATGAAAAAGATTGTATGGCTTAAACCCGCCCCCCCCCCCGAAAACAACAACAACAACACCAACACCAACACCTTATTGGAGTCTCAAATCCTTACACAAAATGCCTTCGTTGTTGCACAATTGACAGCAACATTTTTGTAGGAAAAAGGAAGCAGTCGGTGTGACGATTTATCACTCACCTGCACCCAGAGCCCTACTTTGAAGGATTACTTCTTTTAAACAAACAACAAAAATCTCCTTGTTCCCTAAACAATACAGATTTGACCTACTTACTATTGTGACTATTTTCTAGGACTAGGGAATTTAGGAATATTTCTGTTCCTGCAAAGTATTAGCTAAAGATCTGAAACTAATGAACCAGTTAAGAAAGAGGAGAATACGGAATGAACAGTTCTTAAAATTTTAAGGACTGTGGCATTTGCTTTTCAAATTAGCTTCAGGCTTCACTTGGCCATTAAGCACTAGAGAAGCAGTGCCTAAGGGCCTGTGAGCTTTTAGAGGCCGAGCAAAATTTGTATGCCTGGGGAAGAAATGGATAGACTCCAAAACACTGATAGATATTAATATATATTTAATTTTTTCTATTTAAAATATAACACGTCAACTGCAACTCATCTCAAGACGTATATGTAACTGTACATATGTATGTTTTTATGTGATATGTTTGGGGACCAGGAGGCTCTAAAACAGTACCTTCTAATATTTGTGAGCAAAACCTGAGTTGTATAAATATAGATATTTTATTTAGTGATACTGTAATAAAGGATTCTTTAAAAGAAAGCACCAATATAAATGCTTTAAATTATACCCTTTTTTACTCTTATAAATCGAGGAGACTTTATTAGATGGTAGGTTAATATTATGAATTGAGGATTCCTATGACTCAGCAATTTTACTTGTAGGAATTTATCTTTCACATGTATTCCTACATGTGTGCGAAGATGAGCCAGGATGTTCTTTTTTGTTGTTGTTTGTTTGTTTGTTTGTTTAGACTTTATTTTCTTATTTGACAGACAGAGAGTGCACAAGCAGGGCAAGGGGCAGGCAGAGGAAGAGGGAAAAGCAGGCTTGAGCTTGAATGGCTCCCGCTTAACCGACGGAGCCACCAAGGTGCACCCAGGATGTTCTTTCTACCTATTTTTGCCATTTTTAATGTCAAAAGAATGTAAAACAGCTTAAATATCCATCCATAGGAGACTGCTCAGTCAGTTATGGTATAGTTCTGTGATGGCTACAGTATGGCAGAGAAGCAGGAAGAGATTGATATGAGCTGGTATGTCATGATCTCTAATTTCTGAGACAGTAAAACAAGGTGCAAAACAAAGTATATGTTAATGCTTCCACTTTTTTCAGAAGAGTATACCATGTTGCATTATTTTTAGATAGATATATGATTTAATGGATATAAAAATCATTCTGGTAGTAGAAACCATGGATCTGTAGTGGAAAGGTAACTTTCTTTATATTTATTTGCTTTTGTGTTCAAGTTTTATACCATGGGCATATTTTACCTTCACAACAATAATACCCAAAGTCCTAATTTAGAAATTGCAGTTAAGCAAGTTATTTAGCAAAAAACTTTTTAAATAAAAAAAAAGGTAGCTACTTTATGGTAAATGATATACAGTTTGGGATGTCTGCTAATTTCTCATGGAAATTAGCTTGTAAACAACAACATAGCATCATAATGCCTACTGAAAAACTATTAATTTCTCTTGAGACTAGGATTCTGCAGGGCATATATTTTAGAAGAAATGGGAGACTTCTCATTTTTTACATTTCTTTACTCCTTAATCCTCTTATACAACACAAAGTTCATTATTATTTTTATAATATATGCTTTTTAAAAACTATGAAAATGTCACTGTACTTCTTGCATATGTATACAAAGACTTAAACTACTCTCATTAAAGGCAGGCTGTGGATAATAATATTGTGACTGCATAGCAAAAACAGTACAATAAGGACCTGGGAAGGATGTCCACATACTATGTTATTATTGTCAGCATACATGTAGGAAGTTATTAGATCCGTTTTGTTTTACCTCAAAGGAAAAAAGGTTTTGCTCTTCCTTAGGCTTTCTTTTTTTTTTTTTAAAGATTTTATTATTTATTTGACAGAGACAGAGATAGTGAGAGCAGGAACACAAGCAGCGGGAGTGGGAGAGGGAGAGCAGGCTTCCCGCCGAGGAGGGAGCCCGATGTGGGACTCGATCCCAGGACCCTGGGATCATGACCTGAGCTGAAAGCAGGCGCTTAACGACTGAGCCACCCAGGCACCCTCTCTCTTCCTTAGGCTTTTGCCAATGAAATTATTAGAAGTGAATTTGGGGCACAGGGAGAAGTCCTAAGGAGCAGTATATAAGTCCTTAATTTGTGGGTTTGTAGATCACTGCAGTGGGCTAAAGCCCTCCAGATATCTATGACACACACTTTCACTTGCCAGTGGAAACAAGTTTTAAAAATAATAAAAAGAAACAGTCTGGTTTTGATATGACATAATTGAAAGTGACATATCTTGAGAATAAAAGTCTTAACACTGTTGATGGAATTACTAAATTTAATATCAAAAGAGACGTTGGAAAGCAAGTTTCTAGCACAGTTGCTTTGTTTTAGTGATGAGATGCAGAAAATAGAAGTGACATGCCCATGCTGACATATATAGTTAAGCATCTAGTCTGAGAATAGAACAGAGTTTCAGGCATTTGGGATGAGGGAAAAAAACCCAGAAATCATTAGAATGCATTCCACAACGATATAAAAGGAACCAAATATGACTGGAAAACGTAATGAAGTACTCACTCAGGCACTCTTGACTAACAGTAAAGCAGCTGAGTTTTGGAGTCAGAATACTTGGGTTTGAAACTCAACCCTAGCACCTGCTATCTCTATGACCTTGAGCAGTCAATTAACTTAACCCCTGTCTCAGTTTCCTCCTCTGTAAAATAAGGAAAATAGTAATACTTGACAGTTCTCAAAAAAATAAGTCTTTAGGGGCACCTCGGTGGCTCAATTGTTAAGAGTCTGCCTTCGGCTCAGATCATGATCCCAAGGTCCTGAGATCAAGCCCCGCGTCAGGCTCCCTGCTTAGTGGGAAGCCTGCTTCTCCCTCTCCCACTCCCCCTGCTTGTGTTCCTTCTCTCACTTTGTCTCTCTCTGTCAAATAAATAAATAAATAAAATAATAATAAATTAATTTTAAAAAAAGTCTTTAGAAGCACATGGCAGGCCAGAGATAGGGTATGGGGCAAGTAGACTGAATGAATAGCACTTAGGTCACAAAGCTACTTTTTTTTTTAATATGTCTGCTATTTCAGTATCTGTGCAGAGGTATACTCTACTTAGGCCATGTGGTCCAATGGAGAAAGGGGGTGAGGTCTTTTTGCACAGTTCATAAACCACCACAGAGATAAGATATGAGATATAAGATAAGGTGACTTGAACCTATCCAGACACGCAGAAGCCTTTTTCAACTGGTAATATAACAATTGAAAAACTCTTGACTTTCTTTCTGACAATTTTATATCACAGAGAAAACATTTTAAATTTTTTTTTTTTAAGATTTTTTAAATTTATTTATTTGAGACAGAAAGAATGAGAGAGAGAGAGAGCACATGAGAGGGGAGAGGGTCAGAGGCAGAAGCAGGCTCCCTGTCGAGCAGGGAGCCCGATGCGGGACTCGATCCAGGGACTCCAGGATCATGACCTGAGCCGAAGGCAGTCGCTTAATCAACTGAGCCACCCAGGCACCCTAGAGAAAACATTTTAAAGGAAGTAATTCTCCATGTTCCAGGACTGTCTAGCTTACTGCAGAGCAGTTAACCTTCCTGGTGGCCAGTGGCATACCCCCACATATTTCCACCAACCCCAGTTGAGAACCATGGCTAGAGGAATTGAAGGACCATTCTGAATTTAGTCTTTCCAACAAGAATGGATTGGTAATGGAAACATGGAGAAGTTTGGGAGAAAATGACATACTAACTTGAAGACTGTGGTATCTAGGAAAAGGAAAGACAGATATATAACACATACTAGACCAAACCTTCCCAAACTGTGCCCCAAGGAATATTTATACAAAACAAATGGTTCTGTGGCCAAAAATGTTTGGAAAACACCACATATTCAGCCATCTTTAGATTCCTAATGCCCACTATTAGCATGATAAATGATCAGAGAAGTCTTACAGTAAGAAACCAGGTATGAAATATTTCAAAAGGGAAAACTCTTTTCTCATATACTTCTTAATATGTTCTCTTCCTATGGCCTTTTTCCCATTTCTGCTGTAACAGTGTTCTGTTAACAATTTAAAAT